AGAATCCTACTAGAATATAAAAAAAATATTATGTAAATTAACGTGGATTTAAAAAAAAAGCAAAAGTAAGTACCCCTTGTGTTCTTCCTATCATCTACATATCTGCCAATTACCATCGAAATCCGTACAGTAGTTTAGTCTGCAAACTCTAAAAAACATCCATCCTAATATAAATCTACGCCTTCGTATTTATAATAGTATCATATAATTGCAATCAAGTTTTTAGTATAGGAAAGTGCAATTTTTATATTGAACATTACAGTTTTATCGAAATTAACTCGGTGAGTTTTTCAAGCATTTATGTCATTCTTCTATGCTAACATAATAAAGCGTAAACACACTCTTGTTACGTAAGATGTCAGCAATCACAGCAAAATTTTGAATAATTATTTCTTTAATAAAAAACCCTACACTTAGGACACGCTATAGGCTATATGTTTTCACGCTATTTAATTTAAATAGTGAATAAAATAGAAAAAAACTGTCAACTAAGGAACAAAGACTAAAAGCCAATAGCAGTAAAGAAGCAAAATTAGTCAAGGTAATTGTTAAGGCCTCCGTAGTCTTCTGTGTAGTTTGATATTTTTAATTAAGAGTACTACAAATTCAAATGATAAAATATATATTATAATAAAGCGTAAACACACACTTCTTTGTTGCCTAAGATGTCAGCAATTACAGCATATTTTCGAATAATTCTTTTTTAATAAAAAGCCCTACACTTACGTCACGCTTTAGGTTATATGTTTTCACGCCATTAAACTTAGGGGGGTAAATATTTTGGATAAAAATCCTAATGTGGGAAAGAAACCATAAGTTGCTGCCATCAAGGAAGCAAGGTTGCCACGGTTTGTCATGTCATGTCATTTTGACATTTGCAATTGATAATTTGACACATGTAAATGATATAATAAAATTTTCATAATTTTACGAGACCAGCTAGTGACGAAATAAAGTATTTATAATTCAGATGAAGCCGCACATGAACAGCTAGTCGGTTTATAACCAGTTTATATAAATAAAATTCACCTTTCTGCGACATTTGTACAGAACTCCTTACTTATTATTCCGAACGCGCTTCTCTCGATTTCTAAGTGGGCGTCCGTTTAAGGAATGAACGTACATTACTTGAATAAACAACAATAATGTTAATCAGGCATGCGCTCTGGTAATTTGCTAGGTTTTTTATTATAGTTATTTTGCATTTTTAAACCGACATCGAAAAAGGTAAGTGCGTTGTACAGACGTTAATATTCATTACCAAGATTCCTATTTGAATTGTAGAAAAATTTTAACTGTCTAACCTAGATTTTATTAACTTTCTTTCGTATGTAAATATTCCTTTATATGGGTCTCCTCCACCTTCAAATGCAGATGTTATATTTTGCATTTTTTTACCAGATGGCAAAATAAAACATCTGGATTTGAAGGTGGAGGAACATCATCTATTTATATATTTTTTGTTATACAATTAGGAAACAGAGTGTTTTAACTTTAAGTGATACTAGTATCACTAGCTTATTGCTCGCGACTTCGTCTTGGTGTAATAAAAAAATAGCCTATACTATACATTGGTTACGTAGCTTTGTAATTGGTGATAAAAAAATTGAAATCGGCCCAGTAGTTTTTGAGTTATTTCAATACATATCTTTCCTTTTTATAATATCACTAGCTGTTTCTCGCGACTTCACCCGGGTGAAATTAAAAACTGTAGCCTATGTTACTCACAGATAAATTACCTTTCTAATAGTTAAGGATTTTTTAAAATAAGCCCAGAAGTTCTTACTTGAATCGAATACATACAAAAATCCAAAAATGTAAATCTTTCCTCTTTATAACATTAGTATAGATACATAAGTAATTGATTAAGTTAATGCCCTTAAAAACTGTAGTACTAAAAGTTTCTAAATATCACATATATATCACTATCATAAACAAAGATAGGCAAGGTACAAATTATCCAAGTGCATTGTCATGTTTTACAATATTTAAAAAGGTAATCTCACATCAAAATCCGAGTAAACGGATTTACATGTACACAAAATTGCACCAATTTATCTTCGCACAATAACATAAACTGGGTTTATTTTCTATCATACTTCATACTAATAATATGAACATAAGTTTGGATGTATGTTTGTCACTACAGATATCCAAAACGGCTAAACATATATCGATAAAATTTTCCAAAAATGTAGAACATAGTTTGTAAAATCATATGCGGATGAAGTCGGGATCAACAGCTAGTCTTACTTATTACTAATGTTATAAAAGCGAAAGTTTGGATGGATGTTTGTCAGAGTTTGTAGCCTAAACTGGTAAATGGATCTCGATGAAATGAGGAATTTTTTAATCCACGCGGACGAAGTCGCGGACAACAGCTAGTTTATTAATAAATAAATATCAGCACCGGAAGGACACCTCCCAATAAAGCATGTAAAAATGTTTTATCTAAAATCAAGATAACAACATAATTACGAACACCGGCCAACAATGAACGTTTTCAGAATTTAAAGTTTAAAAAAAAACTGTCCGCCATTATACCGAGTTACTGGCGATTATGGCATTTGGTAGAAACGGCCAGTGTTAAAATTATACCAAATACAATTAAAAACAAAACGATATTACACACAAAATCAAACAAAGTAATAACAACTTAAACTCAACGGAATAAGGTTGACATTTGTTTGTGTTGAATTTAGGAATACGTTTCTAAAGTACAGATAGCAAATAACGTATAAAAACATTAGAACAGTTTGGAATCGTAGCAATGAGCTATGAGTGAAAAGGAGAGGGAAGCCCTATGATACCTGATACGGTATTAGAGTGAAAGGGACGGATATGTTTTACAGTTTGCTACTGTTTGTTGAACAGTAGTCAATCCGGGGGCAGTCAGGGGCGGGTCTAAAGGTTGTATTATAGAGTACTTTAGTGGCAGAAGTTTTTCTGTAGAGCTTTTTGATTAGAAAGAGCTAGAAATATTAATTGAATTAATATGAAAATCATTAAAAAACGCAAGTATCTGAATTTAAATTTTGTTTTTTATTGAAACTATGAAGTTACGAAAAAATAATCATTACTTTAATTAGGATTGTATGTCCTTAACATGGTTTTAGAAATGACTACCTTTAGCACTTGACTCCGTCCGCTTGGAATTAAAATAAAATAATAAAAAAAAGCCTATCTGTTATTTTAGCCTATGCTCTACATCTGTTTTTTTTTACAATATAAGGTGGCAAACGAGCAAGCGGCCACCTGAATCCACCGAAATGGAAAGCGACCGCTGCCCATAAACAACCGCAATTGCAGATGCGTTGCCTACCCTTCATTTACGGAGGAGGAGACGCATCTAAAGAGGATATTTCCCCTTCCTATGCGTCTTCTCCACCGTCAAATCCACTTTTCCTTCCCACCCTCTCCTCTTAAGAAAAGGGTGGAAAAGGAAAGGGTCTAAAATTAGGCCTCCGGCACCACACTCATCAGACGAAACGCGGAATTGCTTCCACTTCACGCCTGTTTTCTGTGTGGTCGTGGTATTACACCGGGGGAGCTGGCCCATTCATGCGAAGATGTTAAAGCGGGCTCTACCACTGTTAAATCTGTACCTCATTTCATTAAGATCGTTTCAGCCGTATAGGCTACAAACTCTAACAAACATCCATCCATCTAAACTTTCGCATATATTAGTAAGATTAGTACGAGGTAAGTCCTCCTCCTAAGACTCCTAAAGACTCCTAAGTCTAGTTGAACCCATACGTTGCTTTACCGAGGAAATACGTTTAAAATGTAATCACACTTATGCTTTTAATAAGTCGTTACTCTTCTAAATAACAACATCCCTTATTCTCTTTATTTTCTAGAAGTTACAACACAAGTTTACTTCATTTCCACAAAATAATCATAAAAGTGAAATCGTAAGCCGCCATAAATGTAGACGTTCATCTTGTTTTCATATTTTAAATTGAATTAAACTTGGTACATAAAGCAAAAAAGATCCCAAATTTCGTCGCGCGATTTTGAGCTAAACTATTTAACTACGTCGTAGTCTTTGACTCCAAAAATCAAACAAACAAAATGGGACCCACCTGCAAGCACTACCTTTCGGATGAAAGAAATATCAAAATCGGTCTACTAGCGGCGGAGTTACGACGTAACATAAAAAAAAAACATACAGACGATTTGAGTACCTTCTTTTGGGAAATCGGTCATAAATTTTATAAATACAAATTGAAAGGTTATATTATACGATTTTATAACTTTTAATTCCAATTACCTTTTTTTTAAGAGTTGAAGTAATCAATTATAACTGACAGAATTCTGCGTTTGTAGCAGATTTTAGATTATGAATTGAAGCATGTAATAGGAAATGTTTAGGTACAAAGTAGGCCAATACAATAATTCCAATGCAATCAGAACAAGCATAGTGCGATTTACCGGCGAGGACCAGTGCCGGTGTTAAAATCGGGCGCGGTTTGGCGATCGCCTGGGGCGCTTAAATATAATAAAAGGACTTACTTATCTTGCTTTTTTCTTAGGTATTCTATTTATTTAAGTATGTATTAACGTCCTAAAAAATTCACAATTAATGCTTTTTTTTAATTAATTTTTATCAAAGATGAGTTTTCTCTTATTTTAGTTTTTAACAATTAATTCCGCTCTTGTGAATTAGAAAGAAAGAATTTAACTGAATTTACTTGACTATGTTTTTCACTTACATATGAAATTATGTAAGAGATATAATATTATTTTATCGCAATAGGATTGTAATTCTTGTTTATCTTATTTTTATTCGAAAAATAAAATATCGTTCGATTCTTTTATCGCGACATCTAGTACTTGAATGAAGAAACGTTTGCTCGGACATTACCATAAAGTTGCACAAGAATGATAATAGATGGCGTGTTTTTAAAAATTTATTTTCAACAAATCTTATTAACGATCACTAAATACTTAAAAAAATAACAATAATAAATAATGCTAACAATTATTTTATAACTTAACTACAAAAACGAGTACTTCGGATGATTTTTGTGATAACATTTAAGGAAATGCCATGCAGTTTCTTCAGGCTTGTGGATCGTTGTGTATAGACAATCGTCAATAGCTTTGTCGACGGTGCGTCTCTCTGTAAAAAATAACAGAAATCTATTAGTAGTTAGTTCAAATTTCTTGAAAAAAAAAGAGATACACATTAAAAGAAATAAATTCGCTACCCACTAGCGACACCTGACGCAGTGAATGTAAGTGGAACTAGCACTAGCACTCTTTTGTTCTATATCCAGTATTCAATTATGTTTTCAAACAAATGCAACCGATGACATCTTACCATTTTCTGGTACTCCAGTGAGAGCGACGTCTAGATGAAATACGCCTTCTTTTGACATCATCTTAGCTTTAAGAAGTAAACATAAAGCCCATACTTTTAATCTGTAATCTTCTCTCTGTAATTAAAAAGACATATTAAAATTATTCTGAACATAACGTATTATATTATTATCTGTACTAATATGACAAAGATTTGCATTTTCGTATGTATTGAAATAACTCAAAAACTACTGGGCCGATTTTAAAAATTCTTTCACCGTTAGAAAGGTAATTTATCTGTGAGTAACATAGGCTATTTTAATTACATTTTAATTTTACGCGGACAAAGTCGAAAACAACAGCTAGTATGTATTAAAATAACTCAAAAAATACTAGGCCGATTTTTAAAATTCATACACCCTTATAAAGCTACGTTATAAGTGAGTAATACAGATTATGTTTTTCAATATTTTCACGCGGACGAAGTCGCGAGCAACGAAAATGTAAAACAGTAAGTGAACGATTCAGCGAACCTCACAAAAAAATCTAAAAGCGAAGGATGACTTGTTACTGTTATGCCAATTAAAAAACAAAAAAAAAACAAAGAATAGTAGAAGGGTATGATCATTGCCTCAGGCTAAAACTAGACGCTATTCTTTTATATGCTCCTAGTACTTTCATAGTTGAAACAAAAATCAATTCTGATTGTAGACTTACCACATCCCAATTGCCTGACGTCACTTGCAGAACCAACTGTGGGCTGACCTTCGACTCTTCGACGCACTCTAGGATACCCCGTTTAAATGTTGCGTAGACTTGGGAACCCTGAAATCAATATCTCTTATAAAAATTAACCATATTAAAGAAACTAACAATCAGATGTCGGTTCATCAAAACAAAAGAATACATTTCGAGTTCATTTGTTTATTTTAAAAGACATCTCTAATTAAGTATGTACCAAGATTTCTTCAAAACTTACTTCGGGAGATAGTATGAAAAAATTATCTGTATGATTTTGATGTTGGCAGCAACTTATGGTCTCTTTCCCACATTAGGGTTTTTATCCAAAACATTTACGCTCTAAGTTCAATTACGTGAAAATATATAGCCTAAAGCGTGACGTAAGTGTAGTGCTTTTTATTTAAAAAAGAATTATTCAAAAAACATGCTGTAATTGCTGACATCTTAGGCAACAAAGTGTGTGTTTACGCTTTATTATAATAGTATAGATAAGAAATAGTTACCTGAATTATTAATAAGCAAATTAACCATAAACTGATTTGCATTTTGATGATCACAGATACACTAACGTGACTACTAGATATGACTGCGAGGAACAATTGAGTTAGTCTATTAAATTATTCTTTATATATAACTAAACAATGTATTATATTATGAGTTATTAATAATGAATAAATAAATGTGGTCATTGTGTAAATTTTCTTATTATTCAAGCAACCATAATATACTTCCTTAGTTTTATAGAGAATGTTTTGATACAGCGCGTACTATAGCTAATATCTTTCAAACAATAGTTATAGGCCAATAAAATAAAGGTAATGCCACACTAGCGGTACGCTATCGCTAATTTTATGTCATCCCAAGTAGCGTGAACAACGTGAATTATGAACCAGTCAGCCCTAGTATCAAACGCGAATGGTTCCGAAACACAATGAATTTAGAATTTAAAAAAAAAATCTGAGCCGTATTTACTTACTGTCCTATGTCTCCGAAGTGGGGCAGAGGGCCTAATGGCGCCGCCAGCCCTATATCTATACTAATATTATAAGGAGGAAAGATTTGTATTTTTGTATGTATTGAAATAATTCAAAAACTACTGGGCCGATTTTAAATTCTTACACCGTTAGAAAGGTAATATATCTGCGAGTAACGTAGTCTACATCCTATTTTATTATTTTTTAAGTTCACGCGGGCGAAGTCGCGAGAAACAGCTAGTATCCTACATTCTAGGGTCTGTGTTTAGTTTTGAGACGAGACAGTCCGATTACCTTCATGTCGGCCGACTATTCTTGATTTACATAGTAGACGACTCCGCACCGCTCGTGTGGCATCTACCTAACAAAAAGACCACTTTAATCTTACTCTCAACGTTTTTCTATTTGTAATGAGCAGTTGTAAAGGTGTATCGGTTGTATTTTATGATCAAAAAGTTGTCTTACTCTAGGCAAAACAAAAGAGTGCCGTATTTCCGTCAACTGAAGTCCTCACAGAAAATTAGTCAAGTGGGTTTACGTAATACTGGAATATATAAATTATGGTAAGACTGAATTTCCTTCTTGTCATTCTTTCTTACATAATAGGTTGTCGTAGTCGATGTAATTAGCTTACGCCCGCGACTCCGTACACATGAATTAAAAAAAGTAACCTATGTGTTCTTCCAGATAATATCTACACCAGATTGTATCCAAATCCGTTTAAGGCAAGGCAAGTTCCTAATTTAAAATCTAAACCTTCGCATTTATAATATTAGCCCAATTTGACATGATTAACAAAAGTCAATGTACAAGTATTCATTCAGTATTAGATAGAGACCTACTTTTTCGTTCAGCGAAATATTGTTGACATGTGATTGCTGTTCTGTGCGATTGGTGCTGTTAGTGGTTTCATTAGTTTTTTGTACAATAACATAAAGACATAATTTTCTCATTATTAAGAGATCTTTTCCCTTATCCTTCTTATATAGGCAACAGGTTTTCGTCTACGGAAGTCTATCATCCGTCTTAGTCATCACTCCTTTCTTTCTCATGCCACGTTTTACGCAATCCATCTCTTTCTAGGTCTATCTTTACCTGACTGTCTCGGTCTACTTCAACATACATTTTGAGGTTATACGTGAAAAAATGAATGACACATTTAGATAATCACACTTTATTGACACTGCAGATGGTAGATTACAATTGGACAATTATTCAATAACAATACTGACATAGGAGACACAAAACATCTCTTACAATTAGGTTTTCAGATCTAAGGCAGTGTTTGTTTCCATATTAGCTTCACTTAGATGAGGATGGAGTGCTTAGGGTCCTTCTCATGGTAACACTTGACGTAGTTCCACGCGTTCTGTTGAGGAGTGCTGCCCTTATTTGCGAGGCAGGCGTCGATCAGCTTCTCCACTGTTGGCTTGTCAGCTGTAACAATCATTTATGAAGTTTGAAGTGAATTTTGAACGATGAAGTAAATTTTGTTAAGCAAGTTTTTTGTTTTTTTAAGTTGATTTACGTGTCTTCTAACACGCATTATTGTTCGCTTTGTACGTTTTACACTCTATTGTGATTCTACGAGCTTTATTGTGTGTTGTATGAAGCGATAAGAAATTTGTAATTTCAATGAACAAACTTGCCATTGTTTAAGAAAAAAAACTTTCATTTTCACCTTATAACTAATGACGTTAGAATTCTACTATTATTGTGATTATTATTTTTCCATCAATAATTTCATTTCGCAACTTCATTCGCGTGGAATTAAAAATAAACAAAAGAAAGTAGCCAATGTGTTCTTCCAGACTCTCCTCTACGACTATGCCAAATTTCATTGGGACCCGATCATTAGTTTAGGCTACAAATTCTAACAAACATTCATCCATCTAAATTTTCCCATTTATAAAAATAGTAAGATTGTTATGTATAGTTTTAGTTTCATCAACTGACCCTTGTCCCTTCAGAAGGTCGGCACAGTATGTGTTGCTCAATACATCTCTATCAGCCGTCATATCTGAATTCACTCCCTTCAAGCATGTACTCTTTCGCACCATACTTTTCCCTAATAGTTTGAGTTTATTATCATATTTACCTGCGTTAGGAACCTTAGCGAGGGCGACGTCTTTCTTGAACTTCCCATCCTTTGTCATCAATTCTGACTTAACCATCAGACAGAGAGCGTACTTCTTCAGATCCTCATTTTCATTCTGTGTACAAAATATACGATTAATTACATATCATATATATTAAGAATAACAGATTTATTATAAAAGCCTTAGCAACAGTTGCTTTACAACTAGCAAGATAATTACTACTTTTCCTCGTTTTTGTCTTAGTATCTATTCTTCTTCAGTACTTTTAAGTCCTTCGATGTCTTCTTTAGTTATCGTTAATGGACATAGTTTAGAAAATTGTTTTAAACTTACGGTAAAGTCTCCGGTCTTGAGTTTGTCGACTTGTTCCTCAACAGCCTTGGATTCCGCGAGGCACTCGCTCCTGTGCTTCTTCAGCTTCTCCTTCTGTTCATCTGTCAGCGCCTGAAAGAAATTTGTTAGTTTAGATGGATGGAAATTTGTTAGAGTGTGAAGCCTAAACGGCTAAACTAATCTGGGTGAAATTTGGTATAGATGTAGAACATAGTCTAGAAGAACATATGGACTACATGCTTTTGTTTTTTAATTCCACGTGGACGGGGTTGCAGGTAAAAGCTAGTATTGAATAAATATCATTTAACTCAGTTATATATCTCCTTTGTCTTTGTAAAATAGGATTCTATTTTCTCTATAAAGAAATATAGTGGTATCACTAGAGTTTACAACTATGGACATTATTTTCTGATTGTCTTAATAGTTAAATAAAATAATACTAGGCTTTGCTGGCGACTTAGTACGCGCGGAATTAAAAAAATGTAATCAAACTAGCTTGTGTTATTAAGTAAAATGTAATAGTCGATATAGTAGTTTTTAAATTTATTAATTACATACAAAAATACAAACCTTACCTTTTTATATAAGTACAAGTGAATTGTGTTATAATAAATAATGCTAACCGGTTATTGCAACTACATACAATTAAGCTCAAATAAGAAGGTAACGAATGGAAATAAGTTGTTTTGACACAAAAACTGGTTACAACTACTTAAATGAAAAACAAAAATATTGTTTATGTTAAGCTTTAAGATTTTTTAACATAGTTTTATTAACATTTCTTGTTAATTAGAAGTCTTTTGTATAAAGGTAGAAGTATTTCTCCTTTTAATTCAAAATTGTTTTGTTTAATCACAAGTATAAAAAAACTCTTGCACCATTAAAAAGCTATGTTATCACTGAGTTACTGTTAGCTACAATTTTTACATTTTTTTTAATTTCACGCGGGCGATGTCGCGAGCAACAGCTAGTATTCAATCATTTAAAAAAAACAAAAAGGACTATTCAATCAGTTGTCTATTCAGCCAGTATTTCAAAAAGAAATAAAACTAACGAACAAAGAACCGATTTTTGAAAATAGAACACCAGTTTAAATAAAGAAAACAAACCTGTACAGCGACGAGGCAAATGGCGAAAACAACGAGATACTTCATGTTGCGGAGGTAACAGGTGTACTATTGCCGGTTGTGAGCAGCCGCGGCTTTTATACGGGGTGGAATGAACCTGGGACTGCGCCCGCGCAGACAGGGATCCGTCGATCATCAGGGGTTGCAAACATTTTCTGGAACGCTGGTCAATCTTATTAATTTTATTAAATTTACTGATTAATAAATGTAATAATAAAGATTCTAATAACAACGTCTAAACTTCATCGACGTATGATTTATTTAATTAAATTTACATTTTAAAGTTAACTTATTTAGAATCTTTAAGATATTGAAAACAATGTCATGCGCAAATACACAGTGCAAAGTGTAAACATTTTCCTCGCCTTTGTTCTGGATATTTAAATAGAATTTATCACGAACAATAGAAACACAATTGTGACAATTAAGTTGTTACCTTAATGAGCTTATTATCATAAGTTGATTTAATTGTATTCCATTGAATCCGGAAAGATTTGTTTATCTTCTTTTTACCCCGACTGATAGGGTTATGCACAGATATATCAATATGTTTTGTAGATTGTGTGTGTATTTATGAATACCCAATTCCGATTGTCTGATCATTAATATCCGCTAAAGGCTTAGTTAAAACAATACGCTTGTAATCGGAATTTAAAATGTCCGCTGTACTATAATTTTAATTGTACAATTTCAGCTAAAAGTGAGATAGTTTTAACTGAACAGTTCGACTGCTCCGTTCAACTATCGCGGGCTGAAGTGTAGTATATTTAAGGGTACATGCGAATTTATTTTTTATTATTTAATTAATTTTCCATACTCCAGCTCAAATAAGGAATTGAATGTAAATTAATAAGATATAGAAATAATAGACTAAGTGTACATTATTATAAAAATGTTGCGTACCCCTGGACCGCCAGGCGTGGGTTTCTCTGGAACTATCCAGGCAAAGCATGTGACCCTTCTTTGTGCATTGCGAACAATACCATACACACTGGATGCTTTTTATATCGATTTTTATGGAACCTTTATAAGTTTAATGCTTTTGATATCTTAGGTTCGAATCTGTCTGTTGAACATTTGACTTTTGATGTAAAGGTTTCTGATAATCAATTTTTTTAAGCGCCAATAGCCTAATGGTTTGGACTACCGATCTTGCGGTCGAGGGTTAGAATCTCGTCATTCGACTATTGTCGTGAACCATATCCTAGCACAAATCTAGAGCTTAGTTGGAATGGTTAAAGGAAATATTAGTAAATCAAAAATCTACTTGTATTAAAAAAATGGATTTTATGGAAAACTTTGTCATTCTTCATGAAACTTATAAAAATAATCTTACTTCTTACTTAAATTACAAATGCAAAAGTATGGATGGATGTTTGTTAGAGTTTGTAGCTTAAAATGCTGAACGGATCTTGATAAAATTTTGCATAGATTTAGAGGATAGTTTGTAACACGTAGACTTACTTTTACTGTTTTTTAATTCCACGAGGATAAAGTCGCCGGCGAAAGCTAGTGTTTAATATAAACCTTATTTAATCATGATGTTTTTTTAATTTTGATTTTCAACTTTAAAAATAAACTAGTTGTTCCCATGCGACTTCATCCGCATAAAACAAAAAAAACTCATTTTATTGTTCACTTTGTCAAATTATCAATTGCAAATGTCAAAATGATAAGACATGATGTCAAACCATGGCAACCTTGCTTCCTTGATGTTGGCAACAACCTATATTCTCTTTCCCACATTAGGGTTTTTATTCATAATATTTACCCCTAAGTTTAACGGCGCGAAAATATACAGCCTAAAGCGTGATGTAAGTGTAGGGCTTTTTATTAAAAAAAGAGTTATTCAAAAATATGCTGTGATTGCCGACATCTTAGGCAACAAAGAAGTGTGTGTTTATGCTTTATTATAATAGTATTGAGTATAGTTACATATAAAAAAATATATTCAGTGTCAGCACATTCATAGTTTGAAGGAAACAAAAAAATTCAATATACGTATTTAATGCTTGAATATAAATCAATATGCGTTTATCTAAAACAAGCAAAAAAGACGGCCATCTTATTTTGTCTGTGCAGGCTTTTGGACGCTTGCTAATCGCATCTTTTTTATATTTATCGTAATGTTCTTAGAAAACAAACTTTGAAATATTTTTTGGTTTATTTAAAACACTTTTTAGATACTAATAAACGTCTAACAAGACAAAGCTTTTTATTTGTACATATTATGTTTTATCTTTTATGTTTAAAAATAAGATTTTTTTGTTTTTTTTTTATGACCAATGTACCAGAACAGATGGAACAATTCATAAAACTGCTTATCCTTCTAGAATACACAAGTATGATGCTATTATATTTGCATTATAAAAAAAATCTTATTAAGGAAAACCAATCAATTAAATATCTTGCAAGCCTTTAGAAAAAACTCAAAAAACGTGTTTTAGGTAGTAGAGACAACCACTTGTCATTTTTTTTTGTTAAGATAACGATTTATTCTGCTTATATCATTAACAAGCATCATTCAATGCTCTAATTTATTATTTATAAAACTTATTAATAAGGAAATTATAGAAAGACCACAAATAATATACATATGACCACAGCCAGCAGACCAAATCTATCCGTAGCTCACTAATCTTAACTCCTCCTCCTCCTCTGAGGCACTACAGCCGCGTGTGGGCCTGGGCCTGGTCCAGTAAACTTCTCCACTTCTGTCTATTTTGGGCCTTTTGCTTCCAGCCCTTGACGCCGATGTTCTTAAGATCGCGTTCGACTTCGTCTAGCCATCTAAGTTTCGGCCTACCTCTTAATTTAATCTTAACTCACTGAATTATAAATAGTTTAGATAAATAGATGGATGTTAGAATTTGTAGCCTAAAATGATTAACAGATCTAGATAAAATTTGCCTTAGATGTACAGGATTGTCTGTAAGAACACATAGGGCATTTACCTACTTTATTATTTTTTTAATTCCACAGACGAAGTCGCGTGCGAAAGCTAGTAATCTTACTAACAGTATAAGTGGGAAAGTTGGATGGATGTTTTTTAAAGTTTGTAGCCTAAACTGCTCAACAGATCCACATGAAATTTGGTATACATTTAGAGGATTGTCTGCAAGAACACGGGCCATTTACTTTTATTTTTTAATTCCACAGACGAAGTCGCGTTCGAAAGCTAGTATTGTAATAAAATCCACCAGTGTGAATATTTGTTGACGCCAAAAAAACCACTCGCAGTGAGTCCGAAATTGGGCCTAACTGATAAATTGCAAGCGGGCAATTCACTAACAAGGTAACACAATAAACGCTCTGTCATCGGTCGCTTCCAGTGATTTATTATTGTCCGTTGACCCTTGTAGGAAAATTACGAACTATCTATTGGTAAATTTGACCTTGCGTTAGGATAGTTACCATGGCAACACTTTGTTTCAAACCGGTTAATAAAATAAAAGAACAGAGACACAGAATAACTTTGCAATTGGATGCACGCAGATTTGTGCGTCGCCCCTGCATCATAACCTTTGCAACCTTTTACGATCTGCTTTGAATGCTTTGTGATACATTTTGAAGAACAGAAAAAATTGAAAACAATACTATTGTCCAGATCAAAAGAAAGTGGCTTCTGAAATAGCTAACAGACCTTTACCGAAAATATTTTACGCTAACTTTAAATAGAGTGAGATAGAAGATGTACAAAATAATACGAGAGTAAAAATGTAGTAACTGCACAATTTTAATTGAACAATCAAACTACACAGTTAAAAACGATGGTGTGTAGGACTTTACAAACTAAAAGAACAAGATTTTTTTTATGTCTTATAAGGTAGCAAACGAGCAAGCGGCCACCTGAATTCGCCGAAATGGTGAAGTGATCGCTGCCCATAGACATCTGCAATTGTAGAAGCGTTGTAGAAATATCCTTTCTTCCCCTTAATCGAAAGGGGAAGAAAGGATATTTACCCTTACTGTTCGTCTAATTCACCGTCAAATCCTTTCCATACTCATCCTTTCCTCTTAAGAAAAGAGTTTAAAGAGAAAGGTGTTAAAATTGTGCCTCCGGGAACCCACTCATTAGACGAAACGCGGTATTGCTTCCACATTACGTCTGTCTTCTGTGTGGTCGTGGTATTACACCGGGCGAGCCGACCCTACACTGCGAAGATGTTAAAGTGGGCTCTATCACTGTTTCATTTTTAATGATGAACCTGTTTACTTCTAGAACAATCTATTAGTTGCAGCGTCAATCAATCAATAGTATCCCGTCGCGCCGGTTCAATCGGGATTACTATAATTATCTAATTCAACTGTCCGCTTGTTCGCAACAAGGTTAACTAACAATTTACGACTTGTTCTTAATAAATAAGGACGTGGTATCCTTTGTGGGTCATACGAGTGACTTTAGTAAGCAAAGAGAATACTTATTTAATCCAGGTAATAAAACTCAAATATGAAAGCAATTTTATACATTAATTGTTCTTTTTTTACAAATATTTGCTGACTGATGAAAATATCTGCATCAGAAAATATCCCACAAGCGGTTTCTTAAGTGTACATTAGTAAGAAACAATTCCTCCCAAAATTACCAACAAATATGTTACATTTGATAAATATCTACTTATAGGGTTGACTGGAGAAGGTAGAGGATCGTAGAAATGAAGTCAAAATATTAAGGTTTATAAATCCTTGTGCGCCAACCCTACGTGACTGATAATCGAGATCAAAAATCTACTTTCTTTAATATTTTTCATCTTACGCTCGTCTTTTGTTAAAAACCAAGATAATTAAATTGTTCCTCTCAAAACTGCAATAAGAAATATTCTTATAATGTGTTTTATTGCATAATATTCCTTTTATAGAGGTGAAAAGATGCACTTTAAAGGACAAGCTTTCGTTTAGCGACATCTGCAGTAAACATGTTGAGAAATAATTGATTGTCCGCTTTGGTAGTGAAATCTGTGGAAATATTATTGTTTTATAACCTTAGTTGTCTTTAATTCGATGTCACTTGTACTAGAGCACATTTTTATCTTTGTCATTTGGATAATGGAAGTTAGATTTAACATAGATGTAATAAATGTCTGAAAAATGTAGCATACTATTTTTAAAAATTCCGGCGAGTAATTAAATAGTTTAATTGTAAAGCATCTTGCGTTAAAAATAAAATAAAACGAATTCGATTAGTCAACAATTCATAAAAAAGCATCAAAAAAACAAACAATAGAAATTCTAATTTTACTGCCTCAAAATGCTCTAAAACATTTTACAGCGACATCTTACAGATAATTGGTATACTAAAATGACAAACATGTCTGTATCAACCACGGAATCATAGATGGCGCTGCTCTTAAACCTTTGCATCCGCGAATTGACTTAAAATAGGTGGCGCTTTTTTCAACAATGAATGAAAACATCCTTTTAAAATTAAACCCAGGACTTGCAAAAGAAGAGCAGAACATTTACTTATACTAGCAACGATAAATATATAATTTTGGATGCAACTTCAGATTGGTCTTAAAAAAGCATTTGGCAAACCAAAACGCATGCGCTGTTCCATAAACACTAATGCAGTACTAAAAATATTTAAACACTATACACGTGTAAAGAGTAAGAAATAAACAAGAAGATTACCAAAAAGTGTGATTACTGTTATAAAAAAAATGGTTTTTTGGGAAGCACATAAAGGTAAGATTATTTATTGTAATTGTGTTAGTCATTTGTTTTCAAAAAAAATTGTGTTCAAAGATCAAATCTTACTTCGACTTAAATAACTCAAATTGTTTTCAAATAATTAGAGATAGAGGTCGCATATTGTCTTTGTCATATTTTTAATCAATTTTTTGCTTCTTCTTCCTTATTTTAGTACAGTTTTTGTCTATTGCAATAAATAACTAAATTCAAAGTTTACCTTCTCAAATTTAACTTTTTAAACAAATTGAATAGTTTAATTTTGCAGTTTTAAAAATACCAGTGTTCAACTTTTAAAAGACCGAATTTCGATTAAAAAAATCTTAACGTAGGGTTTAAAATCTAATGTTAATAATAATTTAATATAGTAAAAATCAAGCAAAAAAGCATTTAAAATTAATTTTGATTTTTATAAAAGGATGCTACTGCTACAAATATATGTGTAAAAGGTATAAAATTTGACGCAAAGAAGTAATTTTAGAAGTATAGAATAATGTAATCTATGCAGTGAACCTTGAAGTTAATACCAGGCCGGTACGGGCCGCACTGCGCAGTCGCAATCGTTGCCAACTTCATTGCTGTACCAAGCAAAACATACGAGAGTGAGAGTCGAAAAACAGTGTTGAAATACAAAAAATATAGTAAAGTTATTTACAAATTCCGTGTTGCAATTACATTGGGAGATAAAGAAGTTAAAACGATAGCGTTTAGTGGAATTGTATTTAATTTTTTGCTTGATTTTTGCATATACGAGGTAAGTCGAACCAAACTTTTAAATACATTCAATGTTGAAACGATCTCTCTTATAAATCGCATTTGTTAGTAAAACATTGTTTTTATTGAGACATTTAGTAACGGCAGTGTTGGTTGGAATTGAGAAATAGGAAAATAAGAGTTACGTGCGTAATAATTTGATATTTCCTTATTTGACTTCATTGTGCGCGGAAATTACTCGAAATTGTCGTGTGCATATCTGAGCTAAAATGTCCCCGTTAAATGTTTTATCAGTGTTAATTTCTAACAATCATATCTAATTAAGGTGCAAAAGTAATAGAATAAAAATTAAATATGTAAACATATAAATTAATATCGTTAACGAAATTATAATAAACAGTGTAACAATAATTCATTAAAAAATGTTTTAAATAACTTCTGGCATCATCCGACCGGCCGTTGACATCAATTAAAAAAATAGCTCAAACAGGGCTGCCTGCACTGCGCCCAATCGATCGCGCGACCGCGCACGCGTGCTACCGGCAACCCTACGTCAGTGGTGCGAAGGTGCGGGGACGCGAAACACAGCCATGCCCAAGCCGACTCCCGTCGAAGACCTGATCATCCCACCGCAAGACCAGAAAATATGCGGAACGATCTGTGTTTGTCAAATGACAGCTGTTTTGAGTGCCGTCGCAATCGTCTATTTGACCGTCGCCATATACATGCCATACACTCGAGCTATCGCTTCAGGAATCGATCCAACACCAATCATGTGTACCACTACAAGAGCTGTTAACAAAGAAAACTGCGATTGGGGATCGTGTGGAGAATGGTGTCTCAGCAAAACCTCCGGAGCTTGCATTCAAATCTATGTCAACGTCAGAAAGAATGGTTCCTCATTATTATTGGCTGAATGTGGTAGTGCCGCTAACAAAACATGCTATGGAATAGATCAAGAAAACGCCAAGAAGTACCACTGCATCCGCGACGAGTGCAGAAATCTGACAGGAACGTTCAATTGTACAGAAGGAAAATGCATCAACATAACGGACGCTTTCGAATGTGCCTTCAGAGATACTGATCCACCGTTAAAATGTTCCGGCAGACGTGGAAAGATAACATGTATAGACGTGCATGGTTTATTTTCCTGTAATCGAGGAACTTGTAGAAAAATTAGAACACCTTATAATTGCGACCGACGATGCGTTGATATTCCGACACGTAACAAGAATGTTATCGTGCTTAGTGGTGACAGAGTATTTTTAGCTAGATGTGCCAAATTAGCTCAAGAAGATGGTGGAAATATTGTATGGACTGATTCTGGGGAGGAAGTTCTAATGCTATCTTGTCATGCAGTCCATAATGGAACATCTGGAGTGGTTGCCGTAGACTGTATTAACGCAGCCTTACTACCTCGAGCTGATATCGCTGATTTGACTAATTTCACATATCTGCAGTACCTATATACAATGAGAGCTACTCCAAACCGTTTCATAGCTCCATCAGAAGTGGAACTGACATTAGCCAATGACAGTCGTCTAATGATAAATCTGGAAGGTTGTGTGAACACGCTCGCTGATGAATGCAAAGAATTTTTGAAAGATTATGGTCGTGATGGTACTGATCATAATGCAAAGGCCAGATTCCCTTGCTTTTATACCGAAAATAATCCCGACACGGTTGTAGCTAGATTTGATTTAGATGCTACGTTCCGTCAATTCTTAGTGGCATTAGTTTTGCCAACAGTCTTAGTAGTAGTGTCGTGTATAACTTTGCTATTGTGTCAGAAGACTGTAGAAGTTGGTGATGATGCGAAGATGAGATTCAAGGGTTGTGCCAGTGGTCAAGCTGAAATGCAAATGCATCCGAACGATCCTGTATCACCCCTCTGAGATCAGTCACGTGAGATTCTTTGTTTAAATATGATGCGTTACGATTACGAATAAATTTTTTTATTATTACTTTAGACTGCGCAACGAAGAAAGTCACGTCATCGGTACAATTACGTGAAAGCAGTTCGTGCCGTCCTTGACATATTTTTTCGTTTCTACAGTAGTTTATATGGATTGAATATACGTAAAAAAATATTTCAGGGGGATACAAAGTTATAGAGATTACTGTGTAAAAATTTTGTGACATATCATAATTTTAATGCGTCTGGTATTGAATATTGGAAGTTACAATAACTAATACATGTTTTTTTCTCTTTTTTCAGGCGTACCCCTCCTCTGTGAGGGTCCGGCTAGTTCCTTAAGAGACGACTAAGTGCTTTCAATGCTTTAACTGCCTTAAATCTTCCTAATGTCGACGTTGAGCAGATCAAGAGCCAGCCTCTCGCCAGCGGCGTCGGAACGGTCAACTTTACCGATGGGAGAATCTGCGGGACCCCGCTGGAGCCGACAAGGGAGCAGCTACTAAATCACTTTTTTGAAAGATTTAAATTTTACACGTCACTCTGCCTCGGTACGTCAGCTATACTCGCTGTCTTCGCTTTCCTCTTTCTGATACCGTTCGTGGTGGAACCAGCTATACAGACGATTCTCGCTGAATTCGTACCAGAAGCGGGAATCTGTTCTGTTGCCGACCATGTTCATGCGGAGACACTGACGAACTGTACATGGGCATCGTGTAGGGAAGGTTGTACTACGGCACACACTAAGTGTCATAAAATCCGAGTAAATCTCGCAAGGAAACCTTTTGTGGAAGGAGCACCCGCACCAACTGAATGGGACGAGACAGACTTGCGATTTTTGATAAATCCCGAAGGCTGTGGATATCCACCGAGAGTGAATTGCTCGGTGTTCGCAAGTGACTACGCTGGTCCTCGAGCCCCGAAAACTTTCCCATGTTACTACAGTCTGACACGACCAGATTTGGTTGTCGCAAGATACTCATGGGAATCGACTGTGAGAGGGTTGATCCTCGCATTGGTGCTACCAACCACTGTCTTCGTATTCAGTCTTAGTGTGCTCGCCTACTGGCATTGTCGATGCTGCAATAAAGCTTGCAATAGACGGGTGCACGCTGAGTCATTCACGAGCAAAGAGGAGTAAGTATTTCGTACTGCTTTAATTCAAATTTAGGTTTATTCTCTTTTTTAACTCTATTTCACACGCGGCTACGTCCACGTGGAATTAAAAAAAAAAAACAAAATCGAGTAGCCTATATGTGTTCTTCCAGACTATTCTCTACATCTATACCAAATTTAATCGAAATCCATTCATCCTTTTAGGCTACAAAAAAAAACATCCATCCATCTAAACTTTCGCATTTATAATATTAGTATGTTAATTGGCTTATCTATAAGTGTGATTAGTTCCATAAAATTGCAGGGTCTATAAACAATTGACGTATGCTGATGGATCTTCCTAATTATTGGGTACTTGCAATGTATGTATTGACAAGTACGTTAATTCTTCGCAAGCACCTTCACAATGCAGAGTGGTCTCTTTGTTAGTCTATTGCACTGAGTCACATAGACTAATAGTGTTAGGTTTAAAATATTCCTTGTTAAAAACTTTGAGCATCATAGAATTTTTTTTAAAAAAAGTCTGTGAACATTGTTGGAAGCGAACAATAGAGCTCAAGGTTTAGTGAGGCTTTTCTATTATTTTTAACTTTTGCAGTTGAATTTTGAACTAAATTCTTTAATTATAGTAAAGATATAATAGGAACACATTTTGAATAGCTAGTAATCTACCTCCTTTAGTGATGTTAAACCACCTTTATTCATTTTTTAAAACTTAGCAGAAGTAAATTTACTAATGCTTAACCTTCACCATAAGTTCAGATTTACCAACTGTCATTTTTTTTAATTGCATTTTTAACTCTCTTTCACAGTAGCAAGCTCCTTTGTGAATTGGACGAAGACCCGAGTGATGACGTCTTCTGACGCCGAGCGACTGTTGCTAGGCGACGTGCCTCCCCACGCTCTGAAGGGTATACGCAGCTATGAACCTCTGCGGTGCGTAGCACTGCGTAGCATAGTACCTACGCCGTACCATAATAGCTACGCCGTACCATAATAGCTAGCCGTAGCATAATAGCTACGCCGTAGCATATAAGCTAAGCCGTAGCATAAAAGCTACGCCGTAGCATATAATTACGCCGTAGCATAAAAGCTGCGCCGTAGCGAAACACGACCACGAATGATTTCAGCTAATGCATATTAATAAGCTTTAATTTTATCTTTATTAAAATAACGCCTAATTCTTATCAATATCTAGTATTTAAAAGTAATATCTGATTTTATTTTTTCTTAAATCAATTTTATATTTAAATTTCAAATTTCGAACAATAGAATGTTTTTAAGAGTGTGGTTAACAAAAGGCAGTTTAAGATTCAAGCAAAAAGGCTTTGCTTTGTGAAATTTAAAAAAATATAAAAAAGTCGAATATCGTCTCTTAATTCTAAATTCGGACTAGGCCGGATAGTTTTAAGGTTGTATATGCAAAATTATGTTAACTAAGACAATATTTATGTAAATATTTCAATAAATTACGCTGATATTCTAGTTATATATTTAGCAATTTAATTAATAAAAACGTTAACAAATAGCTGTATTTAGTAAATAGCTTAATTAATTTAATAATATAGCTTTGCATTTTAGATTTTTAATTACATTAGGATATTCTTTAAGAGATACGTTTAATCCAGAAATAGACATGATCTTTTGAATTTTTGACATTATTTAGTTTAGAGGGCCTATCACGAATATTAGCATGACAGTTGCGAGACCAGTATTCGTGACGTCATCGACAAATTTTGTATGTGACTTGTTAGTGTACTTTACGCCCAGGAGCGCTGCACATGCACATTTATCGATGGCGTTACGAAAATGTTCTCACGATTATACGTGATAAGACCGCGTAATTTTCAATACAAAGTAAACCTGAATCAAGTAATAGATTTGTTATTAACAAATAAATAAAATATTACATAGTTATTTATGAATGTTAAAGATTTATTCTTAAAAATAACAGATGTTTATTTATATTTATTGTATGTGAATTAGCAATATTAAATTTAGGTTTTAAAGAGTTTAAAATATTTTGCATATTAAGTACTAGGATAACGCAAATTGTGTGTTTAAAAAAAATAGGCATAAGAGAGCAGGTGCAAATAAAATTAATAAATTATTAATCGCTTCCGCATTTTTGTACAATTCGCAAATATATGATTCTGCTTTACTATCATTAGAAAAAAATAGTTACGAATGTACCATTTTAGAGCGTCTATTATAAATATTTGCGAAACAATTGCGAGTTGTTATCGTAACATAATGATAAAATTTGTATGAGATTTCTTGATAAAATTTTCCACGAATATTTGTGATAAACTCCAAGTAAAAATGTCATTTCGTTTTTAAATTCATTTACCATTTATAAGTGTTAAGTGATTTTCAAAGATTGAGTAATTTTGTCTATTACTATATTAAGCTTTCTATGCATTAACTTAGAACTTACTTGCACATTTTTACTTCAACATCTTATTAATATTATAAATGCGAAAGTTTGGATGGATGGATGTTTGTTAGAGTTTGTAGCCTAAACGGCTGAACGGATTTCGATGAAATTTGGTACAGATGTAGAGGATGGTCTGGAAGTACACATAGGACACACACTTTTATTTTTTTTTTATTTCACGCGGACGAAAGCTAGTCTTACATAATGCAAACATCGATATCATTTCTAGGTTACATTTGTAATTTAAAATCATTCACTAAAGTTCAAAATAGTACCTTTATCTTAAACTGGATGCTTTAGTGTAGCGCTGAATTATTACTTAAAGTGATATTAATGTTTTAAAAATATATATTCTACACTTAATGATTCCCTTTAACAAAATATAGTTTATTTAAATTGTATTATGCAAATATATTATCTTTGTATAAAATTTGCATGTTTCAATAGTTTTAATACAGTAATGTGTTCTATAAGAGCGTGTGCACATCTGAAACTAAACTATCGCACAACTGTTTAGTCGGTTTGATTTCTATGAGCTTATATGTGTGCATACTCGATCTTTAGTTGTTCAACAACAGTTGAGGCTGCGAAACAATCGACAATCGCACAATAGTTGTGCGATAGTTTAGTCAAATGTATGCGCCCGCTCTAAAAATATAAAAATTTTAATATACACAAATTACACATGAATCTATCTTATAATAAAAATAATATTTTTGTTGTAAATATCGATTAATTTTATTGTTAATCAAATAAATGCTTATTCAATTTTAATGTAAATAAAATAAATTGTTTCTCTAAATTGCTATATATGTAAATATAAATATAAAGATTGAGAATCGAAATGTGAGTAAATATACCAGCAAAGAACATTTATGTATTTAAAGTGTTTGTTCAGATATTTTTAAATCTTCATCAAAGGCTTAACTTTCTAGAATTATCGCTGCTCTAAAGATCTAACTTACGTATTCTAACTATATGAATACATAATTTTTAATGTACTCCACAGACGAACAATTTCCAATTTTTTAATACCAACCGTTAGTCAAGCAGTTTTCTAAGCAGTCTGTTTATGACATTTGTAAATCATATTAGAATTATTTAAAAAGCATTTAAATTTAATTACATTTCGATTTTCAATCTTCATTATTTTTCCGAATATTCCATAAGCTAATCTTCAAACAACTACCATGGACACAAAGTGTTATGACAAATAAAGCTTCTTCTACATACGTTGTTTTATTTAATTAACTATCTATTCCCATGCGGCTTCATCCGCATAAAATTATGAAAATTTTATTTTATTGTCTACATTTGTCAATTTATTAATAGCAAATGTCAAAATGACATGACATGACAAACAGCAATCTTGCTTTCTTGATGTTGGCAGCAACTTATGGTCTCTTTCCCACATTAGGGTTTACATCCAAAATTTAAGTTTAATGGCGTGAAACTATGTAGCCTAAAGCGTGATATAATAGAGTTATTCAAAAATATGCTGTAATTGCTGACATCTTAGGCAACAAAGAAGTGTGTGTTTACGCTTTATTATAATAGTATAGATATAGATTATGTTACACGGCTTTCTAAATAAGTACCTTATTACTAATAGATCAAGGTCGCTTTCCGCACATTTGATTTTACAAAAGGCCGCACCAGGCGATAGAGTCGCGATTTAAAAGTGACGTATGTTTGAGCTAAAATTTGGAATACTGTAACTTTTTTTTGGTAATGCCCTTAGAATTCGACATATTAGATATTACTGTTTTTGTCCTCAAAAGTTTTAAAAAATCCGCGATAATAAACATTCCAATATAAGATTTCATTGCTATGAGTCAATCGACCAGGGCCGGTCTTGGCATGTCAGCACCCTGGCAGTGCCGGATTAAGAGTGCAGAGCCTGCAGCAAATTCTGTCGAGGGGCCTTTGGTCTGCTTCAGGTTCTCAATTTAAGGGTATTAAATAAATGTAAACTTTTAATTTAATTTTTATTTAATACTAACTTTCACCCGCGACTCCGTCCGCGTCTAATTAAGAAATCAAAAGTGAGTAGCCTATGTGTTCTTCTAAACTATCCGCTGCATCTATACCAAATTTCATAAAAATCTGTTCAGCCGTTTAGTCTCCAAACTCCATCAAACATCCATCCATCTAAACTTTCGCATTTATAATATTAGTATGATTGGAACATTAACGTTAAAACATTGTAAAATACCTCCTTATTTTTATGCTTTTGTGACGAAATCGAGTTGAAGCATAGCCTATATCAAATAAACCACTTCGAGTTTTTACTTTCGTTGTACTTTTGCAGATATATGGTAATTTTTACAGAATTAGGCACATTTTCATAAAATAAATCTATTGAGAAAAGTTTGTCCAATCGTGATTCTGTTCCACGAGACTTTAGTTAAAGGACTGAAGTTACACATACTAAAATATCACCAATCAAATCTTTGTAGAAATCCTGTTCTATGCTTCCAAAGATGCGCAATTTGCCACAACAGGGCCTAAAGCATGCAAGACATTTTACGCTCCTATCTAAATTTATATTTCAATTACTTTCAGACAGGCCTTGGAGCGCAGGGCCCTTAAATTAGAGGGGCCTGTAGCATTTGCTACTCTTGCTATATGGCTAATCCGGCACTACACCCTGAGCGCGATATCTACGGCGGCCTTGTAATTCTATCCCATATTTAAAAAGACATCAAGAGGTGCCCTGGCACCCCTTCACGGAGCCTGTGGCACACCTTTATCCGCCCTGGCCGGTCGCCCTACTCGACTATGCGTTGCCTGGTTCTACAATCTATACTATTATAATAAAGCGTAAACAAACTTCTTTGTTGCCTAAGATGTCAGCAAGTACAGCATATTTTTGAATAACTCTTTTTTTAATAAAAAGCCTTACACTTACGTCACGTTTAGGGGGTAAATATTTTGGATAAAACACCCTAAAGTGGGAAAGAGACCATAAGTTGCTGCCAACATCAAGAAAGTAAGATTGCCAAGATTTGTCATGTCATGTCATTTTGACATTTGCTATTGATAATTTGACAAATGTAAACAACAAAATATTTTTTTCATAATTTCATGCGGATGAAGCCGCACGGGAACAGCTAGTATAAGCGGTTTTAACTACATTGTTACAAAGAACTCATTCGAATACAAAATTTAACGAATATCAAGTAGGTTCAATTGAGTTCATATATAAATCGATATGATTACCCTACTTCCAACAAAGGAAAAAAAATTGAATTATTTATAACTCTTATTATGAATAGACCAATCAATATTAGGGCTTTCATGAAGAATTTTCGATTAACATAGTAAAGGTAATCAACAATATGAAACTATATGAACGAAGGCAAATAACCACTGCCTATCTTTCTTAGACAAATTAATATAACGCAATAGTAAAATAAAACACTTTTACAATATCTATTGACAATTCGTTTCAACATAATCCCTTATTTACTTGTATGGCATAAAAATAGTCTACGGAGATCAATAAAAGCGCCAATTTAATTTACAGCAAATGTATTCGAACACGAACATATTAACGAGCGGAGCGATTTACAAATATAAGGAATACCACACTTAATCAGAGCTAGTGACAATTAATTTTTTTGTAGTTACAAATATACAGATGCGTGTCGTCTGTCTTCCTGTCCTAAAGGCCGGGTTTTCCGGGTAATCCTCAAAATGGCTAGGTCGATTTCGATGGGACTTTTACGGGGAATTCTTACAGATGAAGCCGTTGGCTTATAAAAATAGTGTACTAACAGGACCTTCTTGTGTTTTTTTTTTGTTTGACCTTTTTTGTCTAAAAGAGAGCTTTCTTATCGCGTTTCTTATGCAATGTAACCTCACGTTTACCTGTCAATGTTTAAAAGGGTTGAACGACCCGAGGCGGCACAGAACATTGCGTTTTACTGCAATAGCGTATACCTATTCCACCATTTAATAACCCTCAGCCACATGCCTACGTTATTAAATAAATAACTCTGTTTCAATATTCATTTTATTAATTTGTAATGCTTGCTTATGAAATGTTACAGCAATGCTTTTACATAATAACACTGCATTCCTCCATACATTTTATGCAGACACTAGACTTTTCAGATACATTTTTTGTTACTAACCCTTTTATTAATTACTGTGAACCTGATCTAATTTATATCTAATTTCAAAGAAATTTGACACAGTTGAACATAGCCTGGATGAATATATATACTTTCAAACTTGCCCGTAACTTCGTCCATGCAATGTTAAGAAAAAAAAAGCCTATAACATGCCCGTGTATGTCAGCTACCCTTCAGTGAATGTCCGATCGAAATCGGGCGAGCCGTTTCGGAGATTGCCCAGAACAAACGCGGCTTGCGGACAGACAGACAAAACATTTTATGTGATTTTCGTAGCTGATAAGCAACGCAATTACATCATTTGCTCAAAATCTGGCTTTTTTCTTATGTTATTACAAACTGACACTCCAATTTAATTACATGTATAAAGGTCGTATTAATATGCATATCGTAAATATTTTTTTAATTAAAATTGAACGGTGTATCGACCTTGACAATAATCGATAGCAGAAGATTTAGGTGAAATAATATTGGATATACGCCAAGGCTGGCGCGGAATCATTTGGCACGGCACTGTACCACACCGCTATTCGTTCCAGCCAGAATTCCAATTTAAAACAAAAAAACATAATAGAAAATGTTATCTTTAATCCCTAAGATTTGAATTTTCTTGTATACTAAGAAACAATCGACAGTTGCACTGTTGTGCGTTTGTCGATTGTTTCGCAACCCATTCAACTGTTTAGTTACGCAACTAAAACTCGAGTAGAGTGCGCATCTTCATATAAGTTCATAGGAATCAAAGCGAAACTAAACGGTGGTGCGATAGTTTAATCAAATCATCAGTTTAACATTTAAATTAACAGTTCGAATGATTTTTATTGATGGATAAAAGGCTTTGGAGCATCATCACATATGGGTTTACATGTAAAGTGTGTCGGGCTAAAGGTCTTTGCTGTACACTTATAATGAGCTTACTGGTATACAATGAAAAAAGCTTTTGGTCGCGACTGCATCCGTAGAAATTAAAAAAAGTAGCCTATGCGTTTTTCCAGACTATCCTCTACATTTCTTCCAAATCTCATCAAGATCCGCTCAGCCATTTAGGCGACAATCTCTAACAAATCCATCTAAACCTTCGTATTTATAATATTAGTAAGATTTTTTCATTACATTTACACAGAAATAGGTCACTGTGTTACATTTAGTGTTCACCTACAGTAGCTAATTATTGCTTACAGCAAACTGCATTCGTGATAAAACAGGTTTTATGGTAATCAAGTTAATTGCTATAGGTGTATAGAAAGGAATTACGAAAGCATAATAACATATTAAGAATATTTTTTTTTATGTTTGTTAAGCGACCGCTTGACCGCGATCCCACCTAAAGAAAGTGATGTAGTCGAATGATGGTACGCGCTAGCTTAATAGGTAGCTGTTCTCTACTTTTGAAGGGTCCCACGGTTTTTGAAGATAGATATAATACAAAAGTAATCAAACTCCTCGTTACGATATTAAGACGACGGAAATGATAATCGAAAAGACAGAATTTCGTAAAAAAAAGAGATTACCTTCCATTAGGTTGAGTCTTAGAAGAGGGGGATCATGCTTGCCAATTTGAATTTTTCCCACTCAAAATCAATATTACAAAGCAAGAGAACAATGCAAACATTAAGAGAGTAAAAGTTATGTACGAAACAGTTAAAGATAAATAACACAATTATATCTACTTAGATACGTGGATTTGACGCAATAGTTTATTTTAATAGATATAAAATAGTTCTAAATACAATACAAAATCAACTAAACACACAAACCTCGCGGTTACGTTTACGGTAAACAGTCCGTAAATATTTAAGGTTATTTCTAAAGTGGCGGCACTTCAAGTCGCGTTCGACGTCGTTAGTGTAATTTGAATATAATTTATACAGTCATTTCACGTTTAATTACTGGCCTTTTATGTATACCATCCTATATCTATATACCCCGTTATATACCAGACTGTACATTTGTAAATAATCATATCATGTCATATAAGCACATAAATATAAATATTATAAATGCAAAAGGTACGATGGATGGATGGATGTTTGTTGGCGTTTGTAGCCTAGGCTGAACGGATCTCCATGAAATTTAGCACAGGCTTGGAGCATAGTCTGGAAGAATACATTGGCTATTTATCTCGGGCATAGTTACTGTTCCTGTATGATTCATTAATTTAGTTTTTTTAAGTTTATTCGATTACTCTGCAAAGATTCAACATATCTTATTAAAATTTGGCACAGATATAAAACGAAGTCTGGAGTACACATGGGATAAGGTTCATCCCCGAGAAATGTCCGGTACCCAAGGGATACGTAGCTTTTTGTTATTTATGTAGTTTGTATGTTTTGTAATACCTCGCGGACGAAACGCAGGCAACAGCTAGTGTAAAATAATGTAAAAAAAAATAGCAACAATTTTTTTCTCTACGTTGTCATTCAAAAAAATATTTACATTACAGCTTTTTATTCTGTCCTATCTTTATTCTAATTATCCTTTCCATGTATCGTACTCTTTAATTTGCAATAAACAAAAGCAGACGCAAATTTTATTTGTTACAAATTATAGTAAATTATCGGTTTCCTGCGACTCTGTCCGAGTGGAATTAAAAATTAAAAGCAATCCTACAAACCTATGTGTTTTTGCAGACCATCATCTACATCCATACCAAATATCATCGAGATCCTTTCAGTATAGGCTACTAGCTCTAAAAAACATCCATCCATCTAAAGTTTTGCATTTATAATATTAGTAAGAAGTAAGATTAAATTCTATGAGAATGACCTACTATAAAGTCTTTGTTTTGCTGCCGCTAAGACCCTTGTGAAAATTTCCCCTAATACTGCAATCCGCTAAACTTTATTGACCCAAAAATTCCACTAAAGTTTCGACCTTAAACCTATAAACAGAGGGAATTCATTGTTCAAAGTATTTCAAGTCAAAAGGGACTAAGTTCAACTCTGTCCGCATATTTCAAACCTTAATGCATCAGTTTGCGTGTATCTAGATTAAATGCATTTAATTAAATTAAAGCTGGGGTTTTTTCCGGAATGTTCCATGAATAATTGTCATATTTACGTGGGGCTCCGCAATTGTAAAGCAAGAAAGACAGTCTGTCGCCATACAGCGGTGTAGCACATGACACGAGCTCTATCGACCGGCTCGGAGCGACGCGCGCAACCCACTGTATGAGAACACACAGACGAACGTCGAATTCCAAATTCAAAAATATAACAAAAGAAATAAAAATGAAACATCAATTGTAACTGGCACATCATAAGTTTTTTGCAAAAAAAAAATATTAAAGCGTTCCATTTTTAAAATTGAATTCAAGATTTTTTTTGTTTCTTTTAATTCTGCAAAAAGTTTTTTTTTATTATAAGTCATAACCTTAATTGGTTTTTAATTATAATTCACAGTTTTTTTTTAATTTCGCGCGTCTCGATAAACTTACACATAAGGTTGTGATTCGGTTCGTACAGTCAGCGCCCAGTAGCTGGCGGGTCGCGGTTTCGTATTGACGTCCTTGCAAAACGAAGTCACGTCTTTTATAATATAAAAAAAAGAAAGAAACAATTCTTAGTACACATTTCGTTATAACAATAATAAACATTTGGTGTTTGATTTGTAATTAAAGTGATATCAACTCAAAATCAGTTTCAAATTCATCAGACAAGGAATCTGCAGATTTTACCCCAGTTTGGGGCTACAGTCGGGTTATTTTTGAACAGCACAACACTATTGTATGTATTCTTTAATTAATTATATATTTACAAATAGAAAAATAATTTTATAATTTACTTTTAATTTAGGCAAAAGGTAAGCGAGTTTCTTAAGTTGCTGCATTATGTCACAATGCGTAAGTCCTTATCAAATATGTTTTTTTCCGATATACAATTATTAAACTGCGCATGAAAAGTTTTTTATTACACTATTTTAAAACCGTAAAACCGTTAATCTTTAATTCTCTTCTAAGATTTAAAAACAAATACTTCGAATCCTTTTCGTTTAATATCGATTTCAAACTGAAACATAGTTTTCCACCATTGTGAGATTTTTGAGGTTATGTTATGTAATCCTTATGTTGCTACTGAAAACTGAAAACCCTTACAGTTTAGTAGTTAAGCGTAGAAGCTACGATCTAGAGATCTAGAGTTCAAATTCTAAAACATTTTAATCTGTGTATTTTATACGAAATTTTTACACCACTGATACGATGCAATATAACTAACTGTCGCCCGTGAATCCGTCTCGATTTATTAAAAAAAAAATAGAAACCTATGCATTCTTCCACACATTTATGGCAAATTTCAGAGAGATCCGTTTAGCCGTTCTGAAGATACAAAGTAACAAACATCCATCCCTTAAAACTATTGTATCATACTTAATATTATAAATGCGAAAGTTTAGATGGATGTTTGTTAGAGTTTGTAGCCTAAACGGTTGAACGCATTTCGATGAAATTTGGTATATATGAATTGCATAGTCTGGAAGAACACATAGGCACTCACTTTTGTTTTTTTAATTCCGCTCGGAGTGGCGGGCGAAAGCTAGTTTATTATATCATAGTAAAATAGCAAGATAAATGTGCTACGTGCTTAATAATTCTTTGTTTAGTAATTTAAAATCTATACACAGTAAGTCGTTATTTCATTGTTTTCTTTGAAACCAATATGTGTTGTGTATATAATATCGTAGGCACTGTTACATGAAGTAACTTTCGAGGGACTCCCTGGCTCTTGTAAAATTAATTTAATTCCACATATAAGTAAACAACGAGAACCAAATAAGAAAACGAAACGTAGTTCGCGTGTTAAAGCAATATTTGTTAATTCTAGTTAAATATTTTGCAGTAAATTATTGTTCCTACAAAATTTTCTTTAATTGGTAACGTAATTTAATATATGATATTGAGGAAACCAGACCTGAGAAGAATATTGCTATCTCTTTCATATATCCTTGGAAATAAAGATAGATAATTTCCCCGGTTATCAAACAATTTTTATGATCTTTTTTTTATTACACAAAATCAATTATCACGACATTGAATAGAGAAATATAAATAGAAAAAAAATTAACAATCAATTGTACTGTCCAGTTATTTTGCACAGTTCAATAATGCTGTCATAAAAGATTATCTGCAGCGACATTAAGACTATAAAAATCAGTCATTCAAAAGGCATTAATTGTTTCTTAACTCTAAAGAGCGTTATTAATAAGTAACAGTTTAGCGTAATTAATGTTTAGTGATCCCTTAGCTCGTTACTAAATAAACCTCATAGTTCAAGTTGGGGACGTTAACATTACCGTGGAACTTAAACATGGCTTAAATATTAAAATTTAATAAGTTCATAACATTACTTAAACTTTAAAAGCTTGATATTTTTAAATCAAATTACAAAATGCATAAGTGTGCCCTTTAACATCTTTTTTACTAATGGGGAAAAAATAGTAAAAAAGCCAATACGATGTTTTTACATATTTTCATGATATGCTCCTTTTTGTTTTCTAATTTGAAGATTAACAGTCAACAGTAACATGTAAACAGCCTAATCACAATATACTAATGTTATAAATGCGAAAGTTTAGATGGATGGATGTTTGTTAGAGTTTGTAGCTTAAACGGCTGAACGGTTTTCAATGAAATTTGGCATGGATGTAGAGGATAGTCTGGAAGACCACATAGGCTACTAGTTTTTGTCTTTTTTTCCACGCGAGAGAAGTCGCGGGCGAAAGCTAGATTTAAAATATAATCGATTGTAGGAGTCCAATGCGATTTGAATTTGAAAAAATTTGAAACTTCAAGTATTGAGGGGATAAACTTACGTGAGACATTATATCTAATTATTATTACTTAACGGCTACCACTCAGGTCTATTTTTCTATATATGTATGTACAAGGCGCGACGTGACCCCAAAAAAGCCCATAACACTAGCCCTGAAGATGGACCCCCGATACGTCCGAAACTAGTCGTTGCCGCCCCCCAATATAGACGTGAGTGATAGCCGTCTACCAATATACGAATACGCTGGTTGGTGATAATGCATAACTGTCTTTTCTCTGTATATTCTCTACTCTTCCCATTAAATACAGGTAATAAATTTTAAACCTTTTAATTTCTATCAGATGGCTCGTTTGCAACATTCTTCTTGTTAATTTAAAAAAATCGTAAAGCTATTTCAGAAACTTCAGCATATCTAAAAGTTGATCGGAAAGACTATTTATTTCAAGTCCACTTAGTTTTAGTAAATCAACGACCAACTTGAGAGCTCTTGCCACCACTTTGCCTGAGTGGGCATCGATTACCCCCGATACAGTTGACACGAACTTATGAATTATCAAGTCTTTTTTACGTAAATGAACACAAAATACAGTTTACATTTTAACATTTACAAATATATATAAATATAAGTATAAATAAAAAATAATATTTATAAATAAGCAGGCGTATTTAGTAATCTACATATCTTATTAAACACTAGCTGTTCCCGTGTGGCTTTGTCCACATGGAATTATAAAAAAACTTTATTTTATTGTTTACATTTGTCAAATTATCAATTGCAAATGTCAAAATGAAATGACATGATTCCAAACGATAGCAATCTTGCTTTCTTGATGTTGGCAGCAACTTATGGTCTCTTTACCACATAACGGCTTTATCCAAAATATTTACCCCTTAAGTTTAATGGCGTGAAAACAGATAGCCTAAAGCGTGACGTAAGTGTGAGGCTTGATATAAAAGAAATAATTATTCAAAAATATGCTGTGATTGCTGAAAATTGCTGACACAAAGTAGTGTGTGTTTACGCTTTATTATAATAGTATAGATGATCGTTTAGGGTTTTTTTTTATAACATTAGGTGGCAAACGAGCAAGCGACCACCTGAAACCGCCAAAATGGCGAAGCGACCGCTGCCCATAGACATCCTCAATTGCAGATGCGTTGCCTACCCTACCATACGACGAAGGAGGAGACGCACATAAAGAGGATATTTCCCCTTCCTATGCATCTCCTCCACCGTCAAATCCACTTCCTCTTCCCAACCTCTCCTTATAAAAAAAGGGTGGAAAAGAGAAAGGGACTTAAATTAGGCCTCCGGCACCACACTCATCAGACGAAACACGGAATTGCTTCCATTTCACGTCTGTCTTCTGTGTGGTCGTGGTATTACACCGGGCGTGCCGGCCCTGCAGTGCTAAGATGTTAAAGCGGACACTACCACTGTTCTCTTTCCCGCTTGTTCTGTTTGTCAGTATTTAGTTAAAGTTTCAACTCTTCCAGAGTTTTAACAAAATTATGTTGATCAACTAATCAATAAACTTCAATATTAAAAAGACATTAAATACCAAACACATTAATACAACGAAATCTAAAATTACGACAATAAAACACTGTGTCTATAAAAACTTTCAAACAATGCGATTGGAGGCGACACGACAAAAAGCTCGACAACCGCCCGAGTACAAAGTTGAACCGAGCTTTTTATTTACCTTTTAAGCATATACTTCGCCACTTTGACATCATTTCAAGCATTAATACCTTCGTCTTTTAACACAACTTAAAAGAATGTTTTCAACTACTTTACAATTATGAATCTAAAGAAAATAACAACCTCCTGTCATTTCACTAATGGGAAGGGTAAGGGATCTAAATTAGCCCTCCGGAATCCTTAAAGCCCTTAAAAGTCTAAGAAATATAAACTAAAAGAAGTCTTCCCATGTTTCTTTATTTTATGTCAATTTTTATTCGCATGTAGTTTTTACATACTTTCTGACAGCTAAATATCCTTGTTAGTCTTTACTTTGGTTTGATATATCCCTATATCTTATCTCAATATATTGCTCTCACGAAATAACTTTGTTGGAAGCTTCTATATGATAGGTATTGCCGCCAGTCAGTCTAGCCAGGAATTCAGGCTTAATATCGATTGTGGCTTGAATTAACTCCGTAGTTCTGTTATGCAAGTCGACCTTGCTGTGGATACCCTGATTTTAATCTTTATTTATAGCGCTGCATATTATATGGCTTCAAATGTAGTCTAACCTATATCAGTCAGGAGTAGGGCAATATTTGCATTGTCGAGTTGAATTCTTTCCAAGAAATTCGACAAACTTTTAAATGTCGGACAAGTTTTTTAAATCGAACAGTTCATTTCGAATTTAATTATAAGTCACAAAAATAAAGCTATAAATAATATTGTTAAAGATAAAAAAACCCAAATCGCAAATCTGTAAGTTAGACTGCGGAAATTAAAAAACTTCTATTGGTCTCTCTGACATTGAGATATTGGAAAGAATAAAATGGAACTACTCATTATTCAACCTTTCATATAAAGATTAAGAAAACATAGGGTTGTTTTATTTTCTCTTTTTAATCTTTTATAAGTAATGTTTCGCCCGCGAGTCCGTCTGCGTAGAATAAAATAAACAAAAACAAATGTACTTCCAAAGTATCCTCCACATCTATGCCAAATTATATATCTCATCTAAATTTTCGTATTTATAATATTAGTATGATGTAATTTATTATGATACAAAAGTATTTTAATTTTCAAAAACATTAATTAATAAAACATGTTCCAAATTATGGTGCTTTTAATGTACCAATTCATCTCAAATTGTGATGACCGGTTTCCTAATTGTCCTCGTAATCCAAAATAAAGTAGGAAATACCTTATTACGTAAAAAACAGGACACGTGGATTATTCCCATTAGATCACACTCCTGTCAAATGTTTCTTTATCGAGGTGCTTTTATGAAATTTAAAATAATATTTAAAAATAAACCAAATAACATCATATAATAAAAAGAGGGTTAACGCGTTTAGACCATAGTCGGTAAAAATGGAACAGAATAGATAGTTTACGGTAATCTCTACACAAGTATTAAACGGTCATTAAAGCTTTCACCACTCAATTTGTAGTCGCAATACATATAAAATTTGTAGTAGCCACAAAGACTCTTTATTCCTGAATCAAAAGAAATTTATTCTCCCTAAGGACCTACGAGAATGATAAACGATCACCATTACGCATTAAACTGTAATATGGGTTGTAATGAATTATTTATCATATAACCTACAACTGCCCGATATACAATGACATGTACTATTTTGTATCTGTAAATCGATATTTTTCTTTGCAGTCTGTCCATACGAGTCCTCGCAAAACGACCTGAAAATCACAGACAAAAATGTAAATAAGTAGACGCGAAGAAAATTCAAATCAAACACGAAATAACAATCGAGAGTTAGAAGACGGGAACTTATTCAAATGAAATGATACGGCCGAGCTGAAACAAGCGATATGGTCGCTTCTAGCGCCCCCACGCCAACATGGCCGAGGAAGAAAAGCTACCGATTCCCCCCACATTTTTCGAGAAGGTTCTGTTCTACACGACAGCCACGTTCGTCCTGCTCGCTACATTCAGCCTCTTCGCGTTTCTCTTCTTAGTGCCGTTCGTCATCGAGCCAGCGTTCACGACAATATTCATGCAATTCGATCCAGTTGGAGCGTTATGTGTCACCGCCCAAGTTAAACATTTAGTAGGAGCCAGTAACTGCACTTGGGCTTCTTGCAGGGAAGGTTGCACGAAGGACCTCTACGAGTGCACACAGATCCGCGTCAACTACAAACTAGGGGAATACCCGAACGTAACGTCCACAGAATTTGAGAATCTAATCAGAGCGGAGAGGTCGTTAAGAAGGGATTACGACTACGAAAACAATTACGAAGCACCTATCGATACTATTCCAGAAATGGACGACCAAGAATTGCCCGATGTGATACCTACGGGTCTGCAAGGCAATGATTCCGAATGGTATTTCACTGGAGCGAGGCTGTTCCCCAACGTGAAAGGTTGTGGATACCCGCCAATCTTGAACTGTACCATATTCTACGGCCAATACAGACCTCTGGGCACCAACTATACTTGCTACTACAGCCGTGTTGATCCCGGTCTCGTAATAACGGATCTCGACATGTGGCAGAATACACTGAACCTTGTGTATGCTATGGCGATACCGATACCATCCTTTATAATTTCTGTGATATACTTGACATTTGCGTATTTTAAGATCTACAATACTGAGGAGGAATCGGAGCAAGCTCCGTTGCAGAGTGATGCGGAGGGGATGGCAACGGGTGATGATGGCAAGCCGACGACTCCCGGCTCCGACACGTTTAGGGAAGACTTGGCTTGCTTCGGCCACCAGTTGAAGATGCAGCTGGCTAATGAGAAGCCGAAGGAAGGTTTCGAGTCCAACAGCCCTCCTATCTCTAATTCTGCTTCATTGTCTGGGTAAGTTTTCTGATACTTTTAATATTTATAATAACTTGTGTTAACTTTTAGATTTAGACTCTGTTAACATTATTGTTTATGTATTTGACTACATTTAATATTCAGTTAAAACGAACACTGTCGTCATTTCATTGAGTCTATTTCTATCATTAGAGTATAGAACTGTAGGTATAGTGAAAGCAATTACGCAAATGAATGACGATAACGTTGAAACAATTATCCCAGGAGGATCAAACTTGTTTATAGATTTTGCGTTTAGGATCAAAGAATTACAGCTACTATATAGTAAAGAATCTAACAATGTTAAAATAAAATAACTTTAACGAAAGTAGTAAAAATTGGTGCAAATATTTGAATAAATAAAGGGGAATGGCGTCGAAGATTGATTGGCAGTAAAATCGCAATTTGTCTTAGTTCATGTTATCGCGAAGGGTGCAGTAAATATAAATGCTTTTTCTTGTCACTTTTAATAGCGATTGTCATTTGTCATATTCACGATGTAGGAGATATTCTACAATAGTTTAGGACTAATACATTAAAATAGAATAGTATATACAGTAAGCGAGCGTTCGCACGGACGCGAAAACGCTAGGCGGTAACTATGTGTCAAAATAGAACGTATGGGATTGTATGAAGCTGTTCATAC